TCGGCCATGGGGCTTGTGCTTGGAGGACGGAGTGACGTTGTCCTTACTGGGCACTCAGACGCTTCTTGGGCTGACGACCAGGCTACTCAGCGGTCGTCTCAGGGTTACACCTTCAGCCTTGGTTCTGGTTCAGTTTCTTGGCGTTCTACACGCTCGTCTTCAGTTCTCAACTCCAGTTGTGAGGCTGAGATCTACGCCACAGCCATGGCTGCACAGGAGTTAAGCTGGCTCACCTACCTGTTGACTGACCTGGGAGAGCGGCCTAGTTCTCCTCCAGTGCTGTACGTCGACAACAAGGCTACCATTGCCTTGTGTCAGGAGCACAGACTGGAGCACAGGACGAAGCACATCGCTCTGCGCTACTTCCTTGCTCGAGAGCTGCAGCAGCGTGGTCAGCTTCGTCTTGCTTACGTGGCCACTCGGGCCAACACTGCTGATGTGTTCACCAAGGCGCTTCAGCCTTGTGATCATCAGCGCTTCTGTACTGTTCTAGGCCTTGTGCCTACTGTCCCTCACTTGCTCACTTCTTGACTCTGCTTGTATTGTGATCTCTCTATATATACCTGCATGCTTACACTTGCTAGGTTGTGATCACTGTACCTCTTGCTATATTATCAAACTGCATGTGAACTGGTCTTGTGACCACTTGCTTGTGCTCGGAATTTGTGTGGTTTCCTTGAGAGCCACCCTGAGCTTGCTTTGTTCTACTTTGACTGGTCCTGTGACCATCTGGTTGTCTCCCACTTGGACTATGGGGGTGTGTCAAACATTATATGTTTATATTGTGTAGGCTATAGTGGGTTTAGCCTTACGGGGTACAACTTGTTAGGGTTTCCTACTTGTATCTCCCTCATGCCTAGTTTCATCATCCTTCTTCATTCCTAGATTCTAACAAGGGCACCGTTGTAGTGCCATTCGAACGCTATAACGGGAAATGAAGCCCGAACCCTGGTCCAGTCCGTTGCTAGTTCACGCGCCGGTTCTCGAGCTGGTCCGTCGGGTCCGGGTCGGAACCACGTGGACTCGCTCGTTTGAGAACCGTCCTCAGTGTGTTTGGCGTTGGCGAGGGGTTTGTTGACACTGCTCCAGCTACGAGGCGAAGAAAGTTGAGGACGTATTTAGATTTGCCGCAAAACTGACGTTCCGTTTTATTATTCAGATAGTTTGTTGACACGCCCGCTTGCATTTGCGGACATCTGTATGATGCTCCGGATGTTCGTCGACGCGCACCAGTTCCTCTATCTATGCTTGGCCTACGTTTTTAGACGCTTAGCATGCTTCGGAGCTGGCGTGTGGGTGCAAGGTTGGGTGACGGGGGAATTCCTCGTGCGAGGAGCTCCTCAGGTCAGCAATTTTCGTCAAACCTCTCGCCAACCTCCGTGGTTTCGTTCTGGCGAATTTTCCCCCTGCTACAGTGCAACCCTAAACCGTACTTGCAAATGTATACGGCACCTGTGACTGTTGAATTTGAAATGTGTGCAGCAATCTGACTGACATGAATTTGGTAACCGAAATAAGATTGAACTAGTCTAGATAGATTCTGACTGAACGCGCCTTCGTACTGCTAGTCCTATTTTTTTACTCTAGCACACGACCTCCACGTGATTTGCCCTTTAGGGCGCGTCAGGTTTAAATGAACGGCCAAGTTTTCATATATTTGTCAACAAAGGTACAACTCGGTTGACAGTACCTGAAAGCGTACTTTACAACGAGCGTGTCCCGCGAAGCCCATGCTGCATGTTCGCTGACACGCGCGATATGTACAGTGTGACTACAATGAATAATATAAGGGTTACATAACTTTCGTAAACCAATACCTTCCGAATAACCCCAGCTCAACTAGTGACCATGCTACATGTTTTCTGCCGTTGACTGGTACACGATCCGTCGGACCTATTTCCGCTGGATGGCTGTACGTGCCATTCACGTACAGCAGTAAGTTCCGAAACTGGACAAATTTTGAAACAGTGCTGCGTCAACTCTCTCATATCACTATTTGTATATGTTACAAGAGAAAAGCGGGTAACTGATATGGTAAAAAAACGAAGACTGTACCTGTTCATTTAAACCTGACGCGCCCTTGCTCAATACTCCCCAACGTTATCCACACCCAGCAAAACCTAAATTTTCACCGTCCCTCCAGCATCAGCAGGATTTCGCGCGTCAGTGCAGCTGCGAACCAATTCGAGGGTTGAGCGGGCGGTGATTCTGAAGGGGAGTAGGCGAGGCATAAGAGGCGAGGGAGGGAGAGGCGATTGAAATTGCCCGTGCGGGCGGCGATGGCGGCGCGTGACCGTGAGCGTGTGCTGTGCGCGCTGGCACTGGCATGGTGGCTCGCCGTAGTAGTCGCGCTCGTCGCCATGGTCAACGCCGTTCCGCTCGAGGCAACGCAAGGCGAGTGCCGCACGGTAGTTTCCGCACACCAAGCGAGAATGTCAAACCGAAGGTGAAAGTCGCACGCAAGGCGAGTTCGAACACGAGCCGCGAGAAAGGAGGAACCATGACTTCGAGGAAAAAACAAAAATAAAAGTGAAAATGCGGTTGTCTGAGGGGGGGAGAGAGGGGGGGGGGGGGGGGGGGGGGGGAGGGGGGGAGGGGGTTCTGTTTAACGTAGAACTTCTGTGTCCTCACCTCAGCCATAGCGCGTTTGAAGGGACATATATTTTGAGACGCATGTCCCTTGCAAGAATTTGGCTTGAGGGGCTGAGTGCCCGCAGCAGGCAACTTTCGGCAAGTGCTGCAAGGGAAGTGCCGCTCGCAAGGGGAGCGCCGCTCTCAACATTTGCCACTCGCAAGAAAAGTGTTGTTCCTTGCAAAAAGTATTTCCTTAAGGGCGAGTGCCACCACCATCCTGCCATAACCCTCCATCCTGTCGCGCTCCTCCCCCCTTCGGCCCCGTCTGCCCCCCACCCACTAGCTCTGGTTGCAGTGCAATTCTTGCAGGAGTGCCAGGCGGCATGGGGGCAGAGCATCCCCGGGTGAAGTGGCGCGAGTCCCGACTGCAGCAGTGCCACGGGCCTCACGTGCGACCCCTCCGGCATGATCGTGGCCCTGTGAGGCCATGGGAGGGAGGCGATGGGGTTGAGGGCAATGGAGTAGGTGATGGGATTGAGGCGATGGAAGTGCGATGGAAGTGAGGTGATGGGGGGTGAGGGAGATATGGGGACGGGGCGATTGGGGAGGAGGGGGGGGGGGGGGGGGGAGAGGTGGGATTGGGATAAGAGTGAGAGGATGAGAGTGTGGGAGTGTCGTTGACTTGACACACCATCATTGACACCATCATTGACACACCATCATTGACACACCATCATTGACACCATCATTGACATGACACCATCATTGACACCATTATTGACACCATCATTGACACACCATCATTAACACACCATCATTGACACACCATCATTGACACAGGCAACTCCGGAACTACAAGCTGAGAGGCCAGATTCCAACCTCCCTCAGCAACCTCAGGAAAGTCACCTATCTGTACGTCCTCAGCGCCGTGCCGCCTTGAGTACATGCTGCCGAGATTTGACAACTTGGCACTCCACCTTCCATCCCACAGCACAGCTGCGCTTCACTTTCATTTAGACGTGAGCCAAGTTTTTTTTGGTTTTTGTTTTTGTTTTATATATATTTATATTTTTAACTTGGGCTACACTTGAATTTAAAATGTAAGGCTGAGAGAAAAAACCTCGTATCAAGTGCGAATCTCGACTTGGTTCACCTTACCCGCCCCCAAACCAGCTCCTATGTGAGCGCACAACCTTCTCCGCATCTTTCACCATAATCTCAAGTTTTTTGTGCTCGAGAGTTGAATGCGACTCGACCCGGTCGAGTTTTCTTTCTGGAAAACTCGCTGAAACTTGCCCTAATCGAGCGAGAAGATCGAGTTGAGGTGTGAATCTTAGCTCGACTAGAATGCTCATATCTAGTTTCATTTCACCATCTCTTCTCCAGCCTACCTCTCCTCCTGCTTTCCACCTTTCCCCCTTATGATTTGATCAACTTCTCATTTCGGATAGCCTGACCTCCTTGCTGCTGTGATTGTCTCCTCACAGCGATCTCGCAAGCAACCAGCTGCCAGGCAGCATTTCTGCCACTGTGACTGCGCTCAGCCTGCTGAAATATCTGTGAGTACAGGTCAAGACCCTGCCACATCCGTTGCCCATTGTGCTCCTCCCTCCCCCACTCCGTGTGCAATCTAGTCTCCTCGACATCGTTTTTGATTGGATGAAGTGGAAGGTGTTAATGTTTGTCCTCAATCTCACATTTGTACTTGTACTTTTTATATGTTTGTGTAGTTTGCACGTTGTGTTTGGTGTACACCGACATCCCAACCAAACCCAAATGTAATCTCCAAGCAATCTCCAACCCACCAATTGGAGATTGCCTTGGTTGGGATTACCCTCGATCCTCTAGGATTGCCCCCAATTCCCTTCTCATCCATACCTTGCCCATTTCTGATGTACTTAATGAGCTTTGAGCTCACTACTAATGTATCAGTTCTAAGCCTAAGTTTTGACAGAAGGTGCAACAAAATCATCAGGTGCAGCAATATAATCAGGTGCATCGCCAATTGCCGCCAAGGATAAAAATACGGTCAGCGTAAAAAACGGCCCGTTTTTTACGCTCACTTTTTCACAATTACGGTCGTTTTTTTTTGGACTTTTTTTGCAAGGGGATTTTCCCCGGAATGTTCTGAAACTCTTAAACTGTTGCAGTGGAATGTTCAGCACATAAAGAACGACTAAGAAACAAGCCTACAATGGGCTACTGCCCCTTACTCTCTATCCTTCCATCCCTACCTACTCTTCTAGTCTACCGATCCTCCACTACCACCATCCTACTCCCCCTCCCGCCATCCTACCACCGATCCTACCACCATCCTACCACCGATCCTCCACTACCACCATCCTACCACCGATCCTCCCGCCATCCTACTCCCCCTCTACATGCTCCTTATCTCTACGTTTACCCCCCACTCGACCCTACTGATCCTATTCTTCTTCCTCCTCCTCCTCCTCCTCCTCCTCCTCCTCCTCCTCCTCCTCCTCCTCCTCCTCCTCCCCACTATCATCATCGCTGAGATCCTAAGGATCGCTGCCATCACGGGTCTTCTTGCCCGTCTGCAGTCTGCCGCCTCCTCATCTTCCTCTTCTTCTTACCAATGCTCCCGAACTCATTTAATTCGATGGTAGTAGATCCTTCCTCCCCTTCCTCCACTTCTCCAGCCCCTCTTCTTCCTCTTCAGCTGAGACCGGGGCAATGGTGCAGCCCTCCTTGAAGGTGCCGTTGCTCAGGTCACGGTACAGCTTCTCACGCACACCCTGCCTCCGATCAAAGGCGTCACGAGCCCTCCTCGTGAAGACAACGTAGGTGACGTCGGTCATCTTGGTGGCGGCAAGGCGGTTCCGGTCCCGCCTCTGCACACGTGCAAGCGCGAATCAGTACCTCTCCACCTTGGATGAGGTAACTGGCTGTGGTAGCACCATCACAGCCAGCTCTTGAAGCGCCGCGACCTCCCCACCGTACATCCACCACCATTCCGCGTCAGTCAGGCGCCCCCCCTCCACCAAAGTCGTGGCTGCCCAACGGGCGTCTTCGGAGCCAAGCCGGCCCTTTTCTTTGTGGAACTAGGCCAGCTGAGCGTGGAGCAATGCGCAGTTAGCGACGTCCACACCCCGAGCCTGGATGACCTCATCCGCCCCTCTCCTATTCGCACGGTCTTTCCTCACCATCCACACATGCAAGGGATTGTGAAGCTGGCCTGCCGTCCCATCGCTAGGCAACGATTGCCTAGGTAAAAAAGGCGGCCTTGTCTTTGGCCGCCAGCAGTGTGGTCCGTTTGACGAAGATTGCTGCTGTTAAGAGAGAGTAAAATAGAAACAAGTAAGCTACTTGTTTTGTATTGAATTCACGAAAGAATAGTACGACGGCACCAAATGCATTCAAGTGCTTACCAGCCGCCTCAGCCGCCTCGTTCATTTGGACTGTGGCTTCTAGCATGCGGCCGTATATCTCCCCTATGACTAGAGTCCTCCTGTCAAGAGCCCGAAGCACCTCATAGACCGGAGTCATGAGGCGATGGACTGCCGTTGCTAAGTCCCAAAACAGGCCGTCCAGTAGGAGCGTGCGGACCGCACGCCCCTCCTCCGTCTGTGCCACTGCCTGCCACCTCCTCCTCCCATTCGTCACTAATCACCATCGCCCACAGCGCCTTCACCTCCAAGAAGCGGCCGAGCATTATCACTTGGGTGCCAAACTGCGTTGCACCAGGGCGGACCAAGGACAAGTTGCTAAAAACCTCTTTGAACAGTACGATGGCAGAGGCGCTGCCCTTTACCATCATCCACCATCCTACTTGACCTACGACGCGGTTCACCACCCGAATGTTTCCCATGTCGTGCAACATGAGACCCAGCACGTGCGCGGCGCAGATTGTGAAGAACACCTGGGGATACCCGTCATGAAGCATGTCGGCCGCCCGTTTGCTGTTGGAACGCATTGTCCATCACAACCTGGACGACTAGCCTGCCCCCCACCGTGCAGATCGCCTTGCGAATTAGAGCCGCCAAGTACTCTCGGGTCTTCTTCGCCGTCTTTGAGTCGACGATATCAACAATGACAGGAGCGGTGTCGTTCTGACCAATGATACATACCATGATGCATGTTCAGCCGTCCACCAAGAGGGAGCACCCGCTAGTGCTCCAGCTGTCCTTGATCGGCCGAACAAGGTCTTCGGTATCCGCCTTGAGCTTCTCAAGCAGCGGGCCCAAAACCTTGTAGGGCGTAGGGAGGGTGTATGGTTTGGCGTAGATGACGGCGGAGTCCACAAACGCCTGTAGCGACTTCGACTTGGAGACGTTGAATGCCAAGTCTTTCTCAGCCAGAGCCTCACTCAGCCCAAAGGTAGTCTAGGCGCCCGCGAGCAAGATCATCCACCATATCGCGGATGTCACGCTGCCTATAGCTCCCCGTGCGGGCGGAAGCACATTCGAAGACGAGGAGGCACGGTTAGAGCAACCACCGGTGGTGGAACGTTCACGCTCGGCTTCCGCATGCAGCAGCTTCGCGGGATCTGAAGCGCACATCGTGACGTTCTTCAACTTGTTGGCGGGAGTCCCGTGAATATGCTCCTTAATGTGCCTTTGAAGTCTTCTGGTAGTTCCAGTTTGACCTTTCGATTTGCACCGCTTTGAAACCCATCCTATCTACAAAATACAAGAACATCAAAAGTGTTCCTCCAACCACCTCACACTCACACTACTTACCAGCCAGCCAGCCCAACTACACTCGTGATTTCCACTTTACATTCCCGCTTCTCAACAACGTTCCTTCTGATTCCTACTTCTCCTTCTATCGATCTAATCCACAACCTCCTAACGCACCCACCGTTCAGACTCGGGAATCGGCTAGGGAAGTCCTACTGGGTATCTACTTTCCCGGATGTTGAGCACGCCATTTTTTCACCCTGCCCGGGAAAGTTTTTTCACTGCACAAAAAAGCGTATGCCCAATCTGACCCTTAAGCATATGGCATATACACGTCAGCGTATACACGAAACGCAAATATACGCTAAACACATATATCCCAACATAGAGCAAAACAACCGGACCACACCGGGCAACTTGTTCGGCCCGATCCGGGACGGCCGAGTAGTACCTTGGCCCGGGATAAGCCACGAGAACCCCGGACCAAGCCTTATATTGCATTTGTATGGTTGGGATTTCTAGATTTTGAGCGAACTAGGAATGGTTCGCCTTAAACCCAGAACCCACTGGGTAGACATGGGCAAAAGGCGAGACAAGTTATAATCGCCTCATTTTTTGTCGACTTGTTTTGCGCAACAAGCAAGTATTACACGCTACGAGTAGTTTTTGCCCTCACCCGACTCGCTACTCGTCGAAAAAGAAGAGTATCATTTACTTGTTACAATCAGTTATAATACTCGTGGCAAGGTAAGTTATACTCGCCTTGTTAGGAACATTTCTAATGACACTCAAGTTAGCATAGGGAAATATTCAACCGCGCCTTCCCTTGTAGTGATTCCCCAAGGAGAGTGTTCTAGCCAGGAAATGGTAGATTTTTTAGTGCGATTGCCATTCAGGAAACGTGTTGCAGCAGATAGGTGTGGGAGAGGTCTAGAATTTTCTCGAAGTCTAAGGGTGCAGAGATTGCTGAGTTGAGAAGCAATTGGTGGTTCAAAATTCTCCTCGTTTGAGTTGGCGACTTTTTGTTGCGCATAAACACTTTTAGCAAAGAAACAAAACCACCCACTAGCGGTTTTGAACCCCGCTGCCAAGTCATGGGGGGTTCATGTTGGGACGAGTAAAACTGAATTTGCAAGAATTTTGTTTCCCGTTATGATGATTTTACTCGTTCTTCAAAGCGAGTACAAAATGAGTACCCGTTTACTCGCGAGTAAAGTCCGCCTCGTCTTGGGCGAGTAATTTTGGCCTGGGTGCCGAGTCGTTACTCGCCCAGCGAGCAAACTTAAAGAGAGCAAACTTAAAACTCGACTCCTTGCACATGTCTATGCTCGGGGTCGAACCGAACCAGAACAGGCTTGGGTCGAACCACCTTAGGAGCCCTTCCTCCGTTACCTGGCCCGTTTGGGTTACAACGAAGTTGCGTCGTTTCCGCTCGAACTGGACGCGGTTCGAGACGATAATGATTGTGCATTTTACATTGTGCACCAAGTATGTCCCAATGTATACATGGGCAACGAGTGTAGGGTTTTTGCTCGACTCGTTCGAAATGCTCGTTGGGGGACGAGTGACGAGCCTGAAATTTTGGGAAAAAAACTCGCCCGAGGCGAGGCGAGTTTTACTCGACGAGTTTTATCTACTCTTCGCATGCTCGCCTTGGGGGACGAGCATTTTCGTGGAGATTACGTGCTCGACGAGTTTTTTTTACTCGCGGGCGATTTCGCCTGTCAATCCGCGCGGATCGGCGATTTCGCACGTCAATCCGCGCGGATCGGCGATTTCGCTCGTCAATCCGCGCGGATCGGCGATTTCGCTCGTCAATCCGCGGGGTTCGCCGGCAATTGCGCTGCGGAGTCTGCCACTGGTCGTGTCAATCACTATGCTCAGATCTTTCTTTTGGTCGAGCAAAACGAATATGCCTTTCCAACTAAACTGCCACTTGATTTCCCAACCAATTCGCCACCACTTACCTCTCTTCACCGCACTGAATCTACAAAACCCAACCACCAGATCCAGATTCAAGATCCAGATTCAGATCCCGTCACTTCAGAAAGCCACATCGTTCCTTGCGCTTGCCAGCCTATGGCCCATCGCACAACCCCCTTCCCTCCCCCGCTAGTCTACTCCTGTTACAGTTTAGAAGAAAGAAGAGGGAAGAAGGGGTTTGCACTAGCAAGAATGAGGATACAAATAGCAAACCCTAGAAGGGTTGTACTCGCTATAGAGCACCCCACTACAGGCTAGAGCATAAGATAACATTCTGACACACCCCCATAGCCAAAGTGGGGTGTAATCAGCAGAGTAAGCAAAGGAGTACAAGCTCAGGGTGGATCACAATGTCACCACACATTCTGAGCACAAGTTCAAGAAGCAATAGTTTAAGTTCACAATTATGAGCAAAGCTAGTGGTAGTCACAACGGGCAAGTGAGGAGGAGGAGAGAGAGTGAGAGGAGAGGAGATAGGAGGCGACGGCTGAAGCTGCAGACACACAGGCAACAGGAGGCAGACTGGCACAGCGGCTACCGGACGAAGTCCCCGGAATACAGGAGTAACAGGCCCCGCGGCTAAAGTAGCGGCAGACGAGCAACGGACCCACGGGCGGCTGGCACAGCTGGCTACGACTGGGCTACCGGACGAAGTCCCCGGAATACAGGTGCTGCTGGCGACACGACGGCAACCTCCATTCAGCTTCCCCAAACTATCCCACTCCCCCCTGGCACATACCCGCTGCTACACCGCTAGCTCCACTCCCCCTTCACCCCCCCTTAGTACCACTCCACCGGCTCCAACACGTCCACCCCCCCTCAGCGGCAGCTGCAGCACAGGGAGACGGAGGAGGAGGAGGAGCAGGCGACGCCACACACCCGCCACCCCCCAACCGCCACCCCCCAACCGCCACCCCCCAACCGCCACCCCCCAAACCCTAAAAACAGGGTAGGGAGGTAGGGGGGGGGGGGCAACGCAAGCGGCCCCCCCCCAGGGTCGCCTCGACAGGCGACGGGAGTTGGGCCGGGGCAGGTCGGGGCCGGGGCAGGTCGGGGCCGGGGCAGGTCCGGGACGGGGCAGCAGGGGCCGCGCACGGCTCCCCTGGGCAGCGCGACGGGGCAGCAGGGCCGCGCGACGGGGCAGCAGGGGCCGCGCGCGGCTCCCCTGGGCAGCGCGACGGGGCAGCAGGGCCGCG